GCGGAGCCTTCCTCGGGTGAGAAGCTTGTTAAGGCTCCTTCCATGGATCCTTCTTGCGAAGGGGGACAGGGATGGGAGGAGTTTGAAAAGCCGGGTTCACAAGAAGCTTGGGAAGAGGATTGGTCGTCGGAGCCTGCCTCGGGTGAGAAGCTTGGCAAGGCTCCTTCCATGGATCCTGCTCGCGAAGAAGGGCAGGGTTGGGGGGAGTTTGAAGAGCCGGGTGAAGCCTGGGAAGAGGATGGCTTTGGGAACAATCCTTTGACTTCATGGGTTGAGAATGTTGAGAACTCACCTTCCATGGGCCCCTTTTGGGAAGAGGGGCCGGGTTGGGAGAAGTTTGAAGAGCCAGCTTCGCAAGAAGCTTGGGAAGAGGAGTTGTGGGACCAAGGATGGGAAGCAGAGAGCATCACTCCGGACGTGCCGGGCATGTCTCATGGATGGGAGCCGGATTGGGGTCATGTCGTCGCTCTGTTTGACGAATCTTTCACATCAGTGACAGTTGAGTCGAGGCAGGGCATTGACCACTTAACCAAGAAGGAACTCTCTGACAGGATCTATGATGCACAACTGCACCCACGATTCCCTTCTTGGGTTGCCCACATGAGGTCAATTTGGGACAGGGACGATCCGACGGAACCTTACACCTTTGGTTGCACTGACGTGATCGAAGAACTACTGGGGTTTGAATGTTGGGCCAAAGCCTGGGAGGATGCTGCCGCTAAAGCGGGATCCCCACCTTCGTCCAAGGATGGCGCCACCAAGGAAGATGATCTCCTTCGCCAGCGCACTTTGAAGCTTGGTGAAGAGGAGGATGATTCAGGGGATGCCATGGTCTCTACGGACATGTCCGGCAATGTCAAAGCACCGATGGAGACGCAGGACGGCCACTAGTAAAGTTTTGTAATTATGCTTCAAGATGCTTCAAGTTTCATAGGTTACTGAACCCTTTGACTTACATGCTTTTACGGATTCTATTAAAAACAACATAAATCTCACATTCATGATACATGAAGGTCAGCAGTCAACCTATGGGAATGTCTTGTCATTTTTCAATTGAAAAATAAATTTTCGGGATCCCCCTATCGTGATACATTCCTATATATATATGAGAAGAGCTATGTACTCGATGTTTTGATGCGAACGACAGCATGTCTAGATACAGCTCCCTGGGAAATAGGTTGTTGACCGCCTTGTGCGGCAGGATATTGAGCCCGGCAACGCCCACAGTCACCCAGCAAAGTTCGGGGCTCAACGGCGCTCAGACCAGCATAGGTTTTGGAACATCTAGGGCTTCATTTCATGGATGTCGATGTAGTGTCCATGACCTTTGGAAGGAAGACAGATTTGTTTATTTTAGATTCTTCCCTGGATTGGTGAAATTCATTAGATGCAAAAATGCTGGCACAGGCGCAGCAAGATCGAAGCCAAAAATGAGAAGAAGGAGTCGATACTGGTTTGAAGTTGAATCCTTCCCTTCCATTCTCTTGTTCCATTGGCCGCTTCAAAGCCTCGCAGGAATGCAAGGAGCGCTCTACCAATGGTCCTGTGCCGTGCATGCATTAAGGGTGGCAACCGATTGTGATGCTTCATGTCTTTACCTTAATGTTTTGCAAGCCTGAGTCATCCTAGGAGCCTTTCAATTTGGAGATTGGACCGGGGTCTTCCAACATACCGCCTGAAGTGCTTCGCCGGTGCAATGGGAAGCAAACCCCCATCACCCCCCACAGGCAGAGGCTGCTTGTGGCTGCATCCAAGGACAGCAAGCGAGAAATCAAGGGCAAAGGAAAAGGGGCTGGAAAGGGTGAAGGGAAAGATGTCAATGGGGTTGGGCCCAAAAAAAAGGCCAAGAAACCCAGCACCAAAAAGAAGCCGGCCACTGCGAAGCGAGAGCAGTCCACCTATAGTGTTGCGAAGGCTGCTTACATGAAGCGGCCACTTGCCCAGAGGGATTGTCAGTTTAACCTTGCAGTGTTGTTTTGACCCTGATTTGGATGAACGTACTTTGTGCAGCTTTGGGGCGAAGTGCTAGACTTGAAAGAAATCAAAAATCAAGGGCGCTCGGCAAACCCCAAAAAATTACAATGGTCAGCCAATAACTTCAAGTTCTTTTTTAAAAACAAGGGAACCGAGGGAAACCAAAGCGTTGCCCCCCAAGTTCCAAACAAATTCTGTGGTCCATATATTTCATTTCCCCATCGCGCGGCCCAACTTGAGGCTCAAGGACGAGGAGAACATCACGTCGTGGAAGGAACGGGAGAACAGGCTTGACTGGGTTTCCCATTGGTTTGATGTTCTATTCCCCCTAAAGACAATAATCAATAGATCACTAACCGCAAGTGAAGCAGTATACCTGTTTGAAGTTACTACCAAAGGCGACTTATCTCATCAAAAGGCATGAAACAAGCGCAGTAGCATTGGAAATAGATATCGTCTCATGAGATTTCAGTCCCGGGTTTTCCATCCCAACATTTCTGCAGGTGGAAGCAAAGCCAAGATTACGAAGCCATTCTGAAAGGGATGCCAACCCCTGAGAAGAGGCGCAGAAGGTTTGACTAGCTACTGTGGTAAATTCTGTCCATGCCATGCCAAGATTGACTTTTCATCAACGGCTGGATCGACCAGTGACTTTGCGTGCTTCTTTGGCACGCTCAATCTCAATGGGGCTTGGGGCAACATTGGTCCGATGAGCCTTGAAACATGCAGCTGCTCTTGGCACGGGGATTCAAAAAAAATATTCACAGCTCTGCGCTGCCCCACCAGCTCCTCCAAATTGCCACAGCCAAGTGAGATGGTGTCGAGGTGTGAGCTGCTGTTTCCTGAATTGTTCGCTGGATTGGCTCTGGCAGCTTGGGGATTCACGAGTGATGGATCACATGGCATCAAATTCCTCTTGAACAGTTTAAGTGGGGTACAACATGCAAGCTTCCCAACCTGAAGATTGCGCCCTCTAGAGAAGCCATGAGATACAGCCAGCTTGCCGTTTTGTTGACATGCCTGGTTAAAAGACGCTTGGATGATTGGGTAGTTGCTTGCTATACCGCACGTGTGTGTATGTGCGTGTGTGTGTGTGTGAAACATCTGAATAGATGTAAAACTTCTACCTGATGACGTCGACTCTCTTTACCAATCGATGTTTTTGTTTCATGTGCCACTGCTTTTGCGGTCAGTTGAAAATCAGTTTGTCATTCCATGGTAGATAGCAGGGGGGGTGCACGACTGACAGTCACTGCCCGAAGACACTGTCAGTTCGTGGTGATACAGAGCCTGATCAGCTCTGCGTACCTGCACCCTTTTTATCATTTCTCGTCAATGGCAACCGGCTAAGCCAAGAACCGGTGTGTCGTATTCAAACAGTTTTTAAAGACCAAACTCCAACTTAGACTTCCATTTGGTGTTACTTCGTTGACTGTACGATTTTCGCAATCTGTCAAGGTGGGAACGATTTGGCTTAGTTGAAAGGAAAATGTCAGCTTCCAACTTATTGCATCTAGCAATGGCTATGGCGATGGTAACTTTTCGACTTTTCTCGGGTCTTTTCACCGACATTCCTGTCAGGTACAATTGGATTGTTTTTGCACGTGAGATGCATTACACATCAGAATTAGCAAAGATTGTTCTGAGCAAGTGTGTGTGTGTGTATGCGTGTGTTTCCACAGGGTGACCTATGAACCGTCAATCCCAAAGATTGTTCTGAAGCAGGCTTTCGGCCACCCCACAAATTATAGTTGGAAGGAATTTGTTGAAACTTCACCTGTTTGGCTGTAAGCGCAAAAGATTCTATTTCTTGGGAAGGCTCTGGACCATGAAGGAAATTAAAACAGACTAGCCAATGCACATCATGGAAACCAGAACCTTGTATTTTCAGTATACGCTGCTTGTAACCCCAAGTTTCTATTTCCAAAGAAGCTTTGAATTTCGGAGGCGTGTCCAAACACAATTTCAAGAAGCACCCTCGGAATAAGGTTTCGTTCTTACAGGCTACCCAATTTGATATAACAAAGGTTCTTCGATATATTTTCCATGAACCTTCACTTTGGGCTTTCAATTTTTGGCACCCCAAAGAGATGTTATTTAGGCGGCTTGTTTGGGTGTGGTTTCGAAAGCTAACTTAGGAGGCGGGCGGTTGGACTTCCTCTCGTTACATCGGGGTTGCTTCTACTCAGGCATTGGGGAAATCGACCCGGCTCAGCAATGCCACTTTATAGAGATGTTCGCAGGCTGGGATTGCAAGTCCTTTGCAGCCAGTTTTTGATTTGGCCTACCATCGCAGCACCCCAACCACACTTACATGACTTTAGTTTGGGTTTATTTTGGAAAATGTTCAAAGCACCGATTGGTATCTCATACCCACGTCCCAAGGTTTCATATCACAGCTGTTTCTCCGACGACCGGTTTTTCATGTCATTCTGGCAGGAACCCACATGCTGCACAGTGCCATGGCACTCGTCGAACTCCAAAGCCGGGCTCTGGACGCAGCTTGTCTCTTTGAACTTTGAACAAATATGGACCTTAAAGCTGCGTCTACTGTATAGAGGGCGGAAGCCAGCCAATTTGCTGACCCACGAGAACTAAGCGCCTCCAAAACTATAGCCACCGCTATTGCAATTCTTCTTCCCTTCTAGGTAGATTACACTACAAAGATGGACTTGCTGACGAACTTTGGGTTCATTCTGGCCGTGAATTTCGTCTCTTGGCATCTAACTACGCTTAGAACCCGAAGAAACAAAATGTGTGAAGGATGTCCTTGGATTAGGACATTTAAAGGTGCGTTCCTTCACTTCTTTTTGAAATCCAAAGAGGAAACGGGGTTGGAAATTGATTGGGATTTCCCCAAATTCGACCTTCAATTTTAACGCTTCCTGGGGTCTTTTTCTCACGCCCGCCCAAGCTGAAAATTGGTAAAATAAGTCGCCTTTACCAAAAATCGCCATAACTATAATAACAGGTTGATTTGAAGACCGTCTTGAAAGGGTTTGACTTTTTCAGATGGTTGCGCAAAGGTTAGGCCAGAAGATTCCAATGCTGAGGTTCGGCACCTCGTCCAATCTGGAATACTATGGTGTGCGATACCTTGTTCTTCGTGGGTATTTATGACACTTGGCAAAAGAAGCGGACACGTCCAGCCATTCTGACAGGCTTTTCTGACTGGAGTGGTTTTCACGAAATATTGAAATTGTTTGGCACCTGTAAGCGGCACGAACACGATAATTCAATTAGGGCTGGACCCATTTGTTTTTGTTGTTCTGCCATCTATTTCCCTCAAGTTGAACCGCTCCAGAAAGGCCCAAACGCAACCCCTTGCTGCCAAGGAGCAGAGGATCGACGCGTAGACATTTCCTTCGGCCACAGGGTTGGGATGGCTACCGCTCAACCAGAGAGGGCAACCGTTTAGCACGGAGACTTTGTTATCTGTTTGGGGCTTACAATTTATATCATGGGACCACAAGATGATAACAGGCATCATCAGATTGCTTCTTCTACCTGCGATCCCTGGGAATAAAAGTTGCGGGCTAAGGTTAGAGTTAGCCTACCGGAAGGGTTGTTACTACATTGTAGAGCAGCCGGTGAGCAGCTTGCTGTTCTGCTACAAGCCCCTTCGTCGACTCCTAAAGCGACACGGGGCAATCCGTGTCACATGTGCCTTGGGAGCTTACCATGCCCCAACGTTGAAGCAAGTTTCTTGGTTGCAACATGCAAGTCTGGTTTGCAAAAGAAATGTTTGCTGTAGGTGACACTGGCCAAAAAACACAAGGCTTTCTTTCTCGATGAATCTGGTACGCTTTTCCAGAAAGATATGGCCCAATCAACGAATAGTCATCGTTCATTTTGTCCCTGCCAAGCGGGCAAGCGGCCTGAGGTCATCCTCTGGGGGACAGCCCCATTCCTTTCAGATTTGGCTCTGCAACCATCTCCTTTCAAGAGGCGCTTGGGCATTTCCACCTGCTAATTTCCAAGTTTGTTTGAACATTCGCCCGAGCAGTACATTGATTTGCTGGAAAAGGAATAGTATATATTGTATTTGCATGGGAAATATACAGCCCCAGGAAATACTACGTTGTCTTGAATCTCTGCAGGAGCCAGCTGCGAAAGGTGCGAAGCTTCTTGAAGCTTGAAACTACAAAAGTCTACATTGATGGGAAGGGGCGCAAGCGCTGTGTCCGGGCCCCATGTGCGGTCTGCGCATTAGTATATCCAAATTGCCAGAACACGGCCCGTCCCTTTAAAGGGAAAATGTTTAACTTTACGCTGTTTAGAGATATTCCCATAATATTGCCGGCTCGGGATGTGCCCAAGAAAACCCCCTGAAGTTTCCCTAGCATATATCACCTCAGGCCGGTGGCCGTCACCTTCGAGCAACTCAGAGTTATCCAGGTGGATTAGGACTGGTTGCCGCTTTGCTGCATTACGTGATTTCCCTGCATCTTTGGAATTGGTACCCAAACATGCAACAAAAGGGTATGATAGGCGCAAGGTTTCCGTAGAAAATTAAGTACGCATTCGTGTAACATGTGTTTTTGGAGAGTAGGTAGATGCCTTCATCGAGCCTATGTTGAGACTCTGTGTGAAATCTCCTTCTGCAACAAACAGGTGTTATCTTCAAAATGCTATGTTCATGAGCCCGCGACTGAAACAGGAGCGGCGGTCATACAACCAACTATCTAAGGGATATACTTGAGATTACTTGAGTAAAACAAGGATTTTTGACCGTTTGCTAACTGGGATGCGCCCCCGAATTCTATTCTATATTTGGCTTGGCATCCAGTTGCGCGTGCATGCTGGGCAACACACAAGTGCAGCATACACCCATGTATTTCTCCAAGTACACCTACCAACATGACATATACATGCATCCTCGCACATAAACAAATATAAATATACATATATATATATATTCTTTACTCACTCATTGGACCTATTTTTGAAATAATACTGTATATGTGTGTGTGTACCTCCATCGTGTCAACATACGTGTACTTTAACTTTCATGTACTTTGATACCAGACACATCTGTACAAACATATGTGTATGTATACATATATATATATATATGTACATTTATATGTATACATATGTACACGTATGCAATGTAATGTAATGTAATGTAATGTAACGTAACGTAATGTAATGTAATGTAATGTAATGTAGTGTAATGATGTAATGTAATGTAACGTAATGTAATGTAATGTATGTATGTATGTATTTATATATATATATATGTGTGTGTATGCGTGTGTGTGTGTGTGGGTGTGCGTGCGTGCGTATGGGTGTGTATGAGCGTGTCTCCATTCCTGCCCGCAAACATTTTAAGAGTCTAATCTAACGAAGCAGATTTTTCCCATGTCAACTTTTTCCATAAATGCGGAATCATTTGCCAAGTGAATAAGAAAAGCTTTTAGCTCATATTGCCCAACTCAATCTTCCACATTTTTTGACACGTACTCTCGCTTCTGTAGGAAGCCCGGGTGGGTTTGTTGAAAATTTGACATCTAGTGCTTTGACCTGGGAACCCTTTTCCTTCCCAGCAATCGCCTCATCCCTAACTCTGTCGTTGCCAGGTTGCAGAGCACCTGGAGCAAGTCTTCCGACCCATTGCTCATCCGACCGTGATGCCTGACCAAGGGATGCAATTCTGTGACTTCGGTAGTGAGTCCGATGACAGCGGGCTTGAATCCATATTGTGAGATGGGGCCATATGGCCATATGGATAAAGTTGAGCTGTTTATTCTTTATTCCATATAAAGCTGAGTCGCAAAACCTTATGATTTGAACACTATGGCCCTGCACTTGCCCACACACTGGAGAGCTACTCCGGCTTGTATAAACATGGCACCTGTGCAGGCGCTTGTGCTTGCAGCTTCATGTCTACAGTAGCTATGTTGGTAAGGCAACAGGTGAATCTAGAATTTTTTGTCATATACCAAAACGTGCCAAAACGTGCCAAAACGTGCCAACGGCAACATACATGGCATGAAAACGTGCCAAAACGTGCCCGTGCGTGCCCGTCCCTGTTCCATTTTTTTGGCTCTCACAGGTACGTTTTTCTCCCTTTTGCCAGTCATGGCGAGCCCCCCAGCTCCAAATTCTATGGCTGCTACACCGCCGGACAATGTAGAGGTCCTACCCAAAGGGAAGGCTCGAGGCAAGATGGGTAAGAATATGTGGAAAGGGAAAGGGAAAGGCAAGGATCACACGGAAGCTTTGGCCAAAGGTTTGATGAAAGGAAAGGCAAACGGGGAGGGTGCTCCCGAGCACCACACAGAAGGTTTGGCCAAAGGTTCGACGAAGGGAAAAGCAAAGGGCCAGGACCACACCGAAGGTTCGACCAAAGGCTTGATGAAGGGAAAAGAAAAGGGTGAGGACTACACCGAAGGTTCGACCAAAGGTTTGATGAAGGGAAAAGCAAAGGGGCATGCCCACACCGAAGGTTCGACCAAAGGCTTGATGAAGGGAAAAGCAAAGGGTGAGGACCACACCGAAGGTTCGACCAAAGGTTTGATGAAGGGAAAAGGAAAGGGGCATGCCCACACCGAAGGTTCGACCAAAGGTTTGATGAAGGGAAAAGCAAAGGGGCATGCCCACACCGAAGGTTCGACCAAAGGTTTGATGAAGGGAAAAGGAAAGGGTGAGGACCACACCGAAGGTTCGACCAAAGGTTTGATGAAGGGACAAGCGAAGGGTGAGGACCACACCGAAGGTTCGACCAAAGGTTTGATGAAGGGACAAGCGAAGGGTGAGGACCACACCGAAGGTTCGACCAAAGGTTTGATGAAGGGAAAAGCAAGGGGCGAGGGCCACCCCGAAGGTTCGACCAAAGGCTTGACGAAGGGAAAACGAAAGGGCGAGGACCACACCAAAGGTTCAGGGTGCTCTACAAAGGGCAAGGCAGTCAAAGGCAAAAGAGAAGGCAAGGGGGGGGCAGTAGCTTCTGCTGCTTCAGCGATGCCTTCTGATGCTGAGAGCCATGATGCTAGGGGGGCACCTGCAAAGATAGAATCTTGTCATATCTTGTGCAAGTAGTTTGGTTCAACGTCTGTCCGGGTATGGTAATTTCTTTCTTTTAAGGGAGCAACTTGAAACATTAGACTCGTGCTTGTGCTTTCGCCGCATGCAAAATCAGACGTCTCACCTAAGGAACCTCCCAAAGAACCTGAAGGTTCCACACCTACTGTTGCTGCCTCACCGGCCCTAGCTTGTGGCCATGGGAAGTTCAGTGTAGATGGCGGGAAACCTATGGCAACAGTTCTCGATGACCATGAGTGTGTTGTTCGGGATTGGTTGAAAAAGCTGGAGATGGATGAGCTGGTGACAGTCGTCAAATCAGCTAGGGACCATCCTGACTTTGACCATTTTGGCAAAGACCTCAATCGAACATACGGTTCCTATGAAGATTTCATGGAGTTTGAGATGTGGCTAGCCAAGTTGCATCTCAGTCGCATGATTCCAGCCCCCAGTGCTACGCCCAAGTCGGCCCCAGCAAGTGGCAATGGGTCGGGAAAGGGTGCCAAGTCGAAAGCCAGTGCTGATGCCTTACCAGTTTTGACACCAGAGCAGAAACAGGCCTACCAAGATTACTGGAAACAATGGGAATCTAGTGAGAAGGGGCCTGACCAAGCCTCCCCTTCCGACTCTCCAAGCCCTGCAGAGAGCGATGAGAACGTCACCCCGGCGTGCAAGAGGAAGTTGGAGTGGGAAGGAGGACAGTGTTTTGCTGAACATTTTGTGTTTTCCTACTTTTGCCAAATATGCTAGCTGCTTAAAACTGAGCTGGCGTGGGAGGACCTAGTGCGGAAAAGCCCGACAAGCCGGGGTCTTAAGATACATTTCAGCTTTCAACGTGTTTCTAAACCAGCTAATTATGTTCCCCTCATGTCAGGCCTGGCATCCTTCGCCGGACCACATCGATCCAGAGCGATGGCTCTGGGCCAGTGGAAATGGAGAAATTGGTCGATGGACAGGGCCCGACAAAACGTGTCGGGGTCTTAATTAAGCTCCCTGGCTGCTCTTCCTCTCTCACTCTTTATCTTTCTTGCTGCCTTTAACCTATATGTGTGTATATATATATATAAATATGCCTAAATCTATGTTTAGATATGTAAATACATTTCTATCGATCTGGAAATATTTTCCAAAGAACATTGCCACACACACACACATATATATATACATATCATATCTGCATAGTCTTCGAAAAAATGTTTTCTGTTTTGATCTGTTTCGTTTTTGTCCCAAGGTGAAACTGCTGACGCAGGAAGATTCTGACCGCATCAAGGCCAGCTGCTTTGCCCCCCAAAGTCTTACGATTACAGTACTTCCTGGCAAACTGAAGCAATGAAGATCCATGTTGCCCATTATTTTTCTGTCCATAACCTTCCATATACGGCAGGCGATGACAGGCATGCACGACTTGTCACCGAGAGAGCGAAAACGTCAAAGGGAAGCATTGCGTCGACGGATGCAACAACCAGGCTTCTGTCAATTTACAGCCTAGAGGTTCCAAAAGTTTAGACCTGCATGTTGCCATATGCTTGTGGTCCTACGATTTTTTTCTCGTGGGTCAGGACTTCGTCCCGGCCTACTCCAGAAATGGCAGGCAGCGTCAACAGACGCCCAGAAATTCGAGTTCATCCAAGCCTTTCTTCTCGACCCCTCCTCGCTTTCGTCCATTTCCATAGAGAGCCACTACGAAGAGTTGGCTAGGAAGGAAAGTGAATCCAACTGGATAGAGGTGCCGCTAGAAGAGATACGCAAAATGTATCCTTCTGAGGCTGGCCAGCGCTTCATCGAACAGAACATCATCAACAAACAGCAGGGCAGAGGGCATCCGCAGGATGCTGAACGGGCAAACCCAGAAATGGTGTTGTACTGGATTTTCCAAAACAACACTGACACAACCAAGCAAAGACGTGACGTTTCCCAGAAACTGGTAGCAGCCGGTGCCGTCCCGCACAACAAAGCAGCACGTGCTGCTGTCTCTGCAACCATGGTTGCTGCCGCGGCTGAGTTTGCAAGCGCAGACCCTGGGAAGGGAGGTGCTTCAGCAGCAGGGAAAGGACAAGGGAAGAGTAAGGGTCAAGGGAAGAAAGGGCAAAGGACGCCCAAGGCTCCCAAGGCCAGCGATGCCCGAGCACTTTGCAGCATGTTTTTTTCTACCAGCATTCAGTGGTGTTCTTAGCAACACGTTTGTTTTCCACCATCTTGCTCAAAGTCACCTGCAGAAGTCGCCCCGCTGCAGACTCCCAGCGTCACAGTTTTCCTTGGATTGCGCAGGTCGTTACGGCTGCGGAGCAGGAACGGAAAGATTTCAACAAGAAGATGGATGGGTCTTGACCCCAGCTCCTTTACCGACAAATAAATCTAAAGCATGTTGTGCGGATTCCGTCCCAAACGCTTGGATGATTAAGCGGGGGTTTCCTGGCCAATTGTGTTTTACAGTCACGTTAAATCTACATTCGGCACAAGTCAGCCTATTGTTCAAGTGGGCCATTACTTCCTTCAGGGGCTTAAATAGGAGCTTCGGTGCCCGATCAATTCTCACCGCATCTTCTAGGGTCCAAAAGCTGGCTGCCAAAGCACGAGAAGCCGCTGCGGCCCTCCAATCATCGGGCATACTGCACCAAGAGGCCCGAGTGCGTGAAAGACAGAGATATGAAATGACATGGAATATCAAGAGCAACTTTTCTTGGGGGCAACTGTATGATTTGCTTACAACCCTAGCTTTAGATATATCCACCCAAATTTCACAGTAATATACCAAAATTCTTGGGGCCCTTCCTCTGGGTTCTGCCAACATATCTTCAGTGTGTGTGTGTGCGCATGCATGTGTGTGTGCGGCCAGGCCGTGATTAAACACCTCGGTGTGATCCACGACAAATTGTCCGCGATTCACGCAGAGTCCAGCACTCAACTCATGACCCAGGTATGTCGAACACAATACAGTTGGATTCCCAAGGGTGACGAGCCAGATCTTTGAATCGAAAGACTTCGTTCAGTACAACGCTCACCTGCTTCGCTATGACCGCTTTGTGGAGGACACTGCGGTTAGAATTGGAAAATCTGGGCGCTCGAAAAATTGAAACACTAAATGGTTTTTAAAACCAAATTTAGCATCCTGATTGGTTGACGCACACTATGTTCACCTGGTGTTGCGGGTCTGCGGCGCAGGACTCATACAAAGAGGTCCAAGAAGCCCAGGCCATCAAAGACAGCCACGACCGACGTTCCCTTTGAGTTTTCCTTCTCATGTCTAGAAACTTCAAGTTGTAAACTGTGTTTGTTCCTGGCCCCCCCGACCTCCAAATGGAGCTTGAACTTGAAAGCGCATGTTTTCCTATAGGGCACAGGTTGTTATGAAACAGTTTCAAAAAATCAAAAACTAGGCATCCCAAGAGACCGTTTCAGTTTCATCTCATCAGCTCAAGGCTCACCAAACAGTCCCATCCTGAGGTCTTGCAGCTCAGAAGCGTAAGGCCGAAGGAAAAGCAAAAGCAAAGTGCAAGGCAAAGGCGAAGGCCAAAGCAGCGCCTGCGCCGCCGCCTGAGGAGCCTGAGGATTGGCCGGAGGACGAAGAGGATTTGGATGGGGATCCCTACGAAGGAGGTGAAGAAGAGGCTGAGGAAGAGGACTGCTTAGCAGAACATATGTGACCACCAAAATGGGGGTCTACTACTTTTGTGTATGTTGGGTCTTGCGTGAGTTAGGTTCATGAGGTGCACTGCACTGTAGTGCATGAATCTTCGATGGGTGCCGCATGAAATTGCGGAGTCAAAAGTTCTTAGAAGAAGATGGGGCGGGATGCTCACGAAACACTTACCTGAAATTGTGACCACTATTACCTTGCAGTTATATGTATAAGATTTTAGATTTAGAGTTTAGAGGATGCTTTGCTTTGTGAGCTCCAAGTCACTACTGTGTAGAGAACACCTCAGTCTTGCGTTACCCAATGGGGTCTTGAACAGCTCTCATCCAGCTCGGCGGGAAAATCCAAGCTCCTGCCTCCACGTTCCAACATTTTCACCGGCTGTATTGCTGTGCCACCTCGGTCAAAGGTGTGGTGTGAAAGTGTCGCCAGCTGGATTAGTTTGCATCCCCGTGGTTTCAGCTTTTTTTTAGAGATGGAGCCTCAAACCGAGACTTCCCAACCCCGGGGGACCAATGATGTTACCAGTGCTGCGTCCGCCCTGGTCCGAGAATTTTTCGAAATGCTAGGTGATGGGGAGGCTGGGTTCATATATTCTTGTTGAACATATACTTGAACGCATGGATGATTGGCAACTTGGTCCAGGTGCAGTTTCAAAGGTTGCAATCCCTTCTTCGTCACCCCCTCGGCTAGTTCTTTTCACAATAAACAAAATCAATATAACCATATTTGTGTTGTTAAAATACTGCCCCCTCCGAGGTCGGCTGGACAGATTCCCCCATGCCCTGATCCCGTATCTTGGTGATGACTCATGTATCTGAAATTGCCTTGAAGCGATTCGAGGCGTGTTGCTAAAGAACATGTTCATTGAAAACAATGAAACAAATTAGGGAAACACACGCACACTGTTGGATGTCAGTTTACAGCCTTGTCTAGATTCTACTTTCTTAGATCTGGTATAGATTCTTTCGGCTTGGTGAAGATAAGAAACCCGTCAACTTTGGACTCTGTCAGGGGATTTCCTAGACATGCGCAAGAATGTACATTGGATCGGGCTTTCCCATTTCCCAGGAGATAAAAATAAATGAGTTCAATCAAGCCCAATGTTGGGTACCCCGTCAATGGTGATGCAGATTGCTTTTACAAGTAGCACTCAGCTTTACCAGACCGAGGGAATTCATTTTGTTGGTGATTACCAAATAAGCCAACTTAAAATATCTAGACTAAACCAATTCCATGTCAATCTGAGGCCTTCGATCCTCCAGCTGATTGAATCATTGCGTGGAAGGTCTACTTCGTATGGTCCAGGGCCTGTCTTTGAGAGATGGGCCGCGAAGCAGCCATGGCGAATCTTTAGCTTAATTAGATTAGATGTGTTCTACACCATGTTGTTGGACTTCCCAGCCTTAGAAAATCTGATCACAATAAGGACAGGCACTACCGGAACCTTTCCAGCTACTGATGTTTGAACAGCTGTTTGCTACTTTTTTTGGAGAAAAAAATCAAATACTTTCTTCGAGTGATCCGCACCATGACATAGCTTCTGACATACCATCTGGAAGTATATATAGCATATTTATTCTGACATTCTATCTGAAATTCTGTCTGGCAGATATTTTGACATTCTATCTGACATTCTATCTGGCATCTATTCTGACGTACTTTCTGGCATATCTTCTGACATTCTATCTGTCATACCTTCTGGCATTCTATCTGGTATATCCTCGCAGATTCTTTGTGGTTGAGGTCCGGCGGGGAACACTGCGATCTAGCGCTTGCAGTTGAGGTCCGACGGGGGTTCGAGGCGGATGAGGAGAATAGTTGCCTTGAAAGGTTCAGATGTCAGATCATAAGTTTAAGAGAGGTTCGGAAAGGTTGAGAGGCGAGAGCTTAAGGAGGGGAACCCAGGTTGAGAACTTGACATGTCCGGTAGTCACTGCACAGAGTCTTCTTCATTTTGTCCTCGGGTCTCCACAGAGATCCTCTTCCCGGCTCTTCGAGTCCGTGGCTTAGCTCCATTCGTTAAGCAACTCTGGACGGATGATGAAAGGTGAGTAGTTTGGACGAGGGGCCAGAGCCCTGCAGTGTGGATAGGCGCAGTGACTGGCAGGCGATTTCTAGATATGGGACCCCCGACTAGATAGCGTTTCGCGAGGATCAGGAAGGATGAAGGTGCGCTCTACTCTGTGGTGGATCTTCCTTCCCCAGATTTCTTTATCTCCCCCTCTCTCCCGTCCTCCACCTACCCAAGGAAGCGGACGTAACTCCCCACTCTCCCTCTTTGCGAGAATAAGATAGAGCGGAGGAGTTTAATAGCGGCGTAGATAACTAGAGTGCAAGACAGCGTTTTTGCATGTTATTTTGTGGGAGATGGATTTCGGGAGTTTTTATTGTGGAGGATCACGGCGTTGATTTGCGGAATTTCCGCGATGTGGTGTTGTATATCGAGACATGTGTTTTGCACCAATTGGATCAATTGGTTTCTTGATCGGTTCAAAAGATCAATCCGACAGCATAAAATCTAACAGCGCTCACCGGACAGGTGGGATGCCATTGTTGTTCAACCGACATTTGTATCCCACAGCGTTTCTGTTTTAGGAGTCTTCGACCTGTGTAAACCCAAGGTTTGATTTTCGAATATGCTACGAGGATGCCCAAGGACAACAAGAACAGAAGCGAGGGACCCACTACATGATGCTACCCCATGAAATAGTTGGAAGCTTTTATAACTTTCAGCATGTGGACCTGTTTCAGAAAATGATCGGTCGCCCCGGGGTTTCTTGGCGTCAGCGTGTGAAATGCAAAGCCCTAGAATCTTCCCGTCCAGTGCGGCCGCAGAACATGTTGGTAAATTTGGCGCCTGAGGCATTGTCCAGATTTTGGGAATGCGAGAAAAACACCGAATGGTTTCGTCAGAACCCGGTCTTGCAGGAGCTCTATGTGATTCGCATGTGGGCCCCCGAACCTGCATTCTCCAGAAAGTGGTGGGCAATCCAAACCCAAGTCAATTCTTGTTATTATGGGCGCATGGTTTGCGCCCTACTCAAGAACTCAGTGGCCTGTTGTACAGGAAAATATGCCTGAAAGGGTAATCCCGCTTCGCCTTTTTGGAGATGGGGCTGAAAGCAACAGTTTCTTGTCCTCCTTGAAGGATGTTGAAAACACATATCCTATCATATCCTGAAATTTTCTGTCAAAATGTTCAGCCCGGGCCTCCGGCGAATGAGGAAAGCAGAAATTCGAGATTCTCACATTGCTGCTACCGCTATCTGAATCTTCATCCACTTATGACACTCGAATTTTGTATCTTGGTTTCATTCCATTCCTGAGCCCCGAAATTTTTGCGCCTAAGTCATATACCAGCTGATCAAACCTGCGCCAGCTAAGGCTTTCATGTATGAGTGGAACCTACTGCAACCATGTGACGCGCACGAATATATTGGAAACTATTGCTTGGTCATTTCAGGCCTTGCGCAGCTTGTAAGCAAAAACAAAACGCCCACAGTAATATCAGTAAACGTGGTATTCTTGAACTTTAATTGTTGCCCCTGCTGGCCATGCAGCCAAGGCACAGGGAGGCATCCAGCAGCAGACCCTTGGGGCCGGCCTTTCTCAAAGCAGTACTTCCCCAAACGGTTCTCCATGGCAAACCGGCTCATTGCTGGTGGATATGTTGCAACTTTAGAAGCGATTCAAGCAGACCAAGACTTTGTCCGAATCCTTTTCCAGCCGGATCGTTTCTTAGTCTACCTCTTTACCTGTTTATTATTTGCATCCTGAAACAAATTGAAAAAGTAACGTTTAGTCGGTCGATTGGAGCGAGTGTTTCGTTTGGCTTTGTGACTTCTGACTGGTTCCCTCAAATTGCTTGAACTTACTGGGTTCTTCCAAAAAAAAACAGCCATCCTGTCAAACCCATTGCGAAGAAACTTGCACGCCCCCTTTCCCCCAATTCAATGTTGTTACATCGCTTTGCTTGGAAAAGCCTTCAAAAAACAGCAGTTTCGGTTCGGATGCCGGCATGCATTGGGCAACGACATTGATCAAGGGGGCACGGGGGGATCAGGTGTGGTGTGACAAGACGTAGGAGGATGGCTGTTTTGTTTTGAAGAACCCGGTATGTATGGGTTTGCCCCATTCATATTAACTCCCTTTGCGCCCCAATGGTTTGGGTCATTTGAGGCTTCTTTTCTCGTCAATCCTGCTGCTACTACTGCAGAGCATTGGCATGGGTCTACATAGACCAGAACCCGGAGTTGAATGAACTTCTGTTTACGAACTTTGGGGAGAGGGCCGCCCACAGACAAACGCGGCGTGGCTAACTTTAAGACGTTTTGGTGAAACACCATTTTCGGGTTGAATTCATGAAGAATTTCCTAAATAGTGGCACTCCCAAATCATCAAGTTTAGTGGGATTTTCTTTTATAAACCATTCAATTTGGGGTACCTCCACGTCGGGAAACCATTGGAAAATTCCATTTGTGAATCTGAGAATTCTAGCAAGTCGGTCTCGTCTAAATTTCCTGTAGGAACATTTTCTACAAACACCAAACCAATTTGTCACAATTCCCTGGCAGGTTGGTAACCACAGAGGAATGGCTTGACATCAACCCTGCAACTCCGCTGTGCGCAATTCCTGGGTGGTCACCGTGGCGATTCTTAACTTAAACGGTGAAATAACATGTGGCCTCCAATGGTTTTGTTTTTTCCACATGATTTTTGCAAGGTTCCACCCACAGTAGTGAGACGCCTTTTTTTGAACTTAGTAGACCAAGCCTCAGGAATCTTGCCGGATTTCATGCACTTAGTTCATTTGGCGTTATCTCCGGATGCCATCACATCGGCTTTATTGGATTGGACAGACAACCAATGGTACGTCGAGGGTGGGTCACGGGACAAACGACTAGCAAAACTCTGGGAGAACTATCGCGCCTATTGTGAGGAAGCCCACATTACTGAACGAGCCCAGCGGAAGTTGTTTACAACAGCCGTGCTGAAGCCAGAAGGCGGCAGATACTGCGAACTAAGCCAGAAAATACTCAACGCCACAGGCGCTCGCTATATGACCTTTTGGGCCTCTAGCCTGTCTGTCCAGTTTGCAACTTTAGGTTACGATGCGGACATGTTTCTCGGTTCGCGGCCTGCTCAAAGTGCGGGTTCGTTTTGTAGGTTTGGGCCCTTAAGGCTAGTGGATGGGATTGGCTGGGATCGATGTATCCTTTTTATTGCACACCCCCGATATTTCCCAGCTTGTTATATAAATGATTTTGTTGATTCTTTCAGCTCTCTGTTCTTTAGACTCTTGTCTACATGGGCTTCCCGCTTCAGGTTCCGAGCTGGTGTATTTACTGGGCTTGCCGAAATGGAGCTATGCAATTTGCATGGTGGCAGGTACTTTTCAACGAGTGAATGGGAAACTTGGAAAGTTGGGTACTTCGCCTACCGTTCTGGGTGCATGCATTTGGCAAATGCCGCAATAGAAGCGAAACAACCTCGGTGGCGCCAACGCCCCAAATCCCATCAATTAGAACATCTGGGGCTGGACTGGCGGGGGTTAAATCCTCGCTACTGCTCCAATTACCTAGACGAAGACTTTGTCCGCCGAGCCAAAAAAGTGGCTCTTGCTTCAAACCCAAGGTTTGTCAGCAAACACGTTTTGTTCCGGTACACTGTCGACAGCACCCTCCGCTGGATGGGACCTGATTTGTTTTAAAAGTTGCGAATATGCTGGCGGTCATTGTGACGCTTCATCATCAGAGACGCTTTCAGTTTCCATGTTCCGAAACATTCACACGGCCATGCCACGTATATGTAAAGTAATATTATAGCAAATAAATAAATAAATATATACGTATTTGCTTTTCTTACATGTTTGTTCATATTTGCAAGTATGGTGCCTATATTTGGCGACTTCTGCCACTTCTGCCTGTCTTTGTAAATAACTAGTTTTGTACATATATATATATATTGCGCTAGAATATTTTCTATAACACGCATGCAGATCGATGCTTGCATGTATGTGTGTTAACGGATGCATGTAGATGGAGAGCGCGGGCTTGTTTCTGTGTATGCGCACAGTAACAGTAAAATGTACAAATAATCTGTATATATTGGCACCTGTCAAAGTGTATGTTTGCGTCTAGGGTTGTGCGTCTTTCGACCGTGCCTGCGTACCGGCATATATTATCAACGCAATTGAAACAAGATGTAGAACATCCTGCTGGCCCACAGATCAGAAATGCAGCTGGCTCGGAACTTTTCCGACGACTTTTCCAGATCGAGCCGTGAAACCGCAGAAATGATCCATCAGTTGATTCGAGCCCCGTGGCGCAGCATGCGGGTTGAAACCGGAAATCACGACTTGTCGAGAGCATATAATTACGCCGTCCAATTTAAAAAAAAATCGCAAACAGTTCCAATAAAGAATCGCGCGAGAATTGACTTGAATAATCGCGCGAAAAAAAGAAAATATAGCTGTGAACTTTATGCGCCGCCACATGTGTCACGAGCGCTTGCTGCCAGAAAAACTTTTCGCGCGAAAAAGGGAAAGTGCGCTTTAAGAGCGAAAATTAGATGTCGCGCGAGCATATTGCAAATCCTTAAAATATACATTCGCTCGCAAATTGGAGACCACGAAAATACACTTTTCGCGCGAAAACTGCAGATTTGCGCTCGCTAGGCTTTAAATACTTTTCACGCGAAAATTGCACTTCGGAAATTGAATTTCGCGCGCAAAGTGGAGACCACGAAAATTACAGATTTTGAGAGAATTCTCTAGCGCATGCTTCTAATAGGCTTTTCGCGCGTGCTGGGAAAATATACTTTTCGCGCGAAAATTGGAAATCCTGCTTCGGAAACAGACTTTTCGCGCGCAGAGTGGAGACCACGAATTTACTTTTCGCGCGAAAACTGTAGATTTTGCGACAATATGCGAAAATATATTCTAACGCATGCGTGCTGGGAAAATATACTTTTCGCGCGAAAATTGCAAATCGTGCTTCGGAAACCGACTTTTCGCACGCAAAGTGGAAACAATTATAAGGAAAAACTGCAGATTTTGCGACATTCTTCGCGCTTGCATGCTTGGGAAAAGACTTTTCGCGCGACAATTGCAGAGCCTGCGGAAACAAACTTTTCGCGCGCGAAGTGGAGACCACAGATAAATTGCAAAGCCTGCTTCGGAAAACACACTTTTCGCGCGCAAAGTGGAGACCACGAATTTACTTTTCGCGCGAAAACTGCAGATTTTGCTTCGCGCTTGCATGCTTGGAAAAAAGACTTTTCGCGCGAAAATTGCAGAGCCTGCGCAGAAACAAACTTTTCGCGCGCAAAGTGGAGACCACGAATATGCATTTTGCGCGAAAATTACAGATTTTGAGAAAATATTCTAGCGCAATAGGAGCGAAAATTGCGAATCCTAGCGGAAAACAGACTTTTCGCGCGCAAAGTGGACACCACGAATATATACTTTTCGCGCGAAAACTGCAGATTTTGCGAAAATCTTCGCGCTTGCACGCGAAAAATTGCAGAGCCTGCTTGGGAAACAGATTTTTCGCGCGCAAGGTCGAGACCACGAATATATACTTTTCGCGCGAAAAGTAGAGATTGCATAGACTTTCGCGCGAAAATTTGAGGCCGCGCGCTGTTAAGAATATATTCTTTTCGCAGATCTGCGTGCTGCGCGAATATATAGTTTTTTTCGCGCAAATTTCGGAGCCGCATCGGCTGCAAAGCGCGCGAGAAGTGTGCGGGCAGGGCATGCATTGCTGCGCAAGGCCGGCACCTCGAAATGCTGGCAATAATTGTAACCGCTCATGCGCATTTTGCCAAGCAAGCAGCTCATACATGGCCGGATCGTATGGTCAAGCAGTTTTTGAAGGCTCGTGCTCTTCATAGATCCGATCCAGGCATGGAGGCAGAACAGATCAAAACATGCCGCGCCATCAAGCCCGCCCAACTAAGCGGCACCGGCTACATATATGTTGCTGGTGCTGCTGGCGTGTTTGCGAGCGTGCGCGTGCCATGCGGCACCGGCGTCATATATGGCACCGGCCTCATATTTGACACCGGCTACATCATCTTTCTGAACAGCCCGTCCTGGTATAGAGCCATGCATATTAAGTTTGATCAGCTCATACCGATTTGCAGGTGGCTGAAGTGGAACCAACGCACGGGCACCCCATTGTCAATTTCTGAATTCCAAGAGGGAGTCATCGTAATGAAGCTTGAGAAGCAGGGGGGCCTTGCTAGCGCAGCCAGCTTGGAAGAAGTCAAGGCTATTGTTGACGCGCATCAGCCAAAATACGACCACCTTTGGGCGAGGTTCAAAGAGTGGGTGGCAAAGCACAAGCCGCAGGAAGACCAGGTCGCAGTCTCGAGATTGAAGGTGAAGAGCATTGCGCAGGTGGCATCGTGTCAGCCTGCAATTGTGGAGCAGGCAATGAACGACCTTGAGACCATGATGTGCAATCTGGGTTTGGCAGTGGACGGTGTCCTGACACAAAAAGGATCTGCCCGTTTAATTGTCTGCGATGAGAAGGGAATTAGCTCCAGGCCAGGCTGTCCAAAACAGTGTTGCACCAGCAGACAAAATCAGTAATGGCACGTCTCCTTTTTAACACATTCGCTTTTTGTCCCTAGACAATGTGCTTTGGTGTCAGGTCTGACAACATTTCTCGTGGCATCACAACGCGGGCTGGACGTGGAACCGCTTCCACAACGGCAGCGACGACATCCTTCGAACACATCACTATAACTTCTTTCATGCCGGTGACCGGGGATCCCTTGCCTGTGGGGGTTATTCTTTCGCGCAAGAGCTTGAATGATTCTATGCCTGACTTATGGCCTGAAGCAAAGTTCTGGTGCAGTGACAGCGGTTCTCAGACACCTGAAACATTCCCTGCCATGTTGGAAGCTTGCTGCTTGAGACCCTTGAGGGAGAGGTTCCCGGATCGCAATGACAAGATACTTCTGGTCATGGATGGAGGAGGGGGCTCGTGGCTGCACATCTCGGTGCCTATGGTCTTACTTCTTGAGAGGTATGGTGTGGAATGTTTCATTCTTCCGTCGCATACCACGGCGGCGCTGTGCGCCCTGGACCAGCAGCCGCACCAACTGATGAGCTTGAGATGGGGCACTTTCAAAGCTCAGTGGTCAAGAAGTGGAAACGATTTAAATATTTTTCAGGCAATAGCAGCCCTGAGGCGCATCGTGGCAGAAGCTTTGTCGCCTCAGAACGCCTTAGCGGGTTGGGCCCGCGTTGGTGTTCAGCCAAATGAGCTGATGCAAAAGCACGTGGTCCTTGAGGAAAGATTTTCTGAACTCTTTACTTCCAAAAAGTCTGGAGGAGGTTCCCTTCCTGCACCACAAACCTCCACGGCTGATGCCTTGTCCCTTGTCAGTCAGATCTCTCCAAAGAAGAAGAAATGCGGACAAAATTCCTGCAAAAGCATGGTTGCAGTGACAATGAGATTCTGCCCGGAGTGTGCCTCACCCAATGCTCATTTTGACCAGGCAGAAGCAGACATGTTTAGAAGCGGCCGCAGAAAGGGCTGGCACAAGCCGCCACAACCAGAAGTTCCGCAGCTACCAGAAACACCCGCAGAAAGAAGGCTCGCTCAAGGAGTTGGCGATTTGCTGGGCCGGCTCCGTCGAGGTGGTGCAGCTCAAAGCGAAGATGCAAGTGCCAAACCTTCGCAGACTGGTGACGGTGTTGCAGAGATCCAAGAACCACCTTGCAAGCAGCAAAAAACAGAACATAAAGCGGCATCTTTTTCGAAGCCTTCTACTGTGGAGCTGGGGCCGGAGCCTTTGGAGGAGGATGAAGATGCATCAGACCCAGAGTGGAATCTCAATAGCCCAGATGATTGCTGCTCCTTTATTGAGCATTACTTTCCTGCAAAGGAGGCAGAGGCCTTGGGCGTTTCAATCGACATGTTCTCCAAAGTTGCCAAATTTTATGTGAATTTCTTGCGAACCTAGAGAACTCCCAAAGCAGATTTGTGCGTGCATTTTGCCAAAGAAATTATCGAACCAAAGACCCTGAACTCAAAAGCTGGGCGAAAGAACTGGTTGCAGACCTGGCTGACGGAGCGCAAGCGTGTCTTCGTACCGAAGACTTAAGTGAGGAAAAAAGTTGCCTGTTTGCGATGCCATGTGTAAGGCACTGTAGAGATAGCGGTGCCATGCAGGAACGAGAATCCGGAGTTGATTTCATACAATGTTATTTGAGCCTTCTAATGATAGCTATTCCATGCTAAAACGGGGGTTTGGAACATCTACTTAGCACTTTGTTGTGCATATCCCCATCGCGGTGCCATGCTGAAACGCCGGGTGGGCATGACTTAGGCGTGACTTCTGGAAACAGCGGTGCCATGCAGAAGTAGGGTTAGGGCATGACTTAGGTATGAGTTAGGCTTCCCGCTGTAGGATATATTCTCTTTATAATGTAAGGATGTGCATATATATATGTATATGTATACACATTCCATAAACATTCTGATATAAAGCATGTATACACAATCTAGTGTGATATCATTCTACCCCTACGGTGTTGTTCATTTTGAACATAAGAATAGACATGCTAATCATGTACTATATCTTGTATATTGCATGTCCAACACACTGCTCATTGCCTATAAGGCCATAGACTTGTCCATCATGCGCATCCAAATCACTGGTGGGGCGTCGGCCTTCCCACTGCCCAAATATGCCATTTGTGGGTCAAGATTTGGCCCCAAAATGGGATGGTTTTACTCAGAAAGACCACGTCGTCCCCGGAGCCAAAAACCTGCGTACATTTCGACCCATGCGCACTTAAGGTCTTGGAGGATGCTTTGAGGTCAATTTGAAGAACTATAGGATATCCATGTATATATTAATATATGTTACAGTATATATTACATACACACATTCCATATCCCGATTGGAAATTGATATTTCCACATACAAACTAAACTATCTTTCTGGGAAATGATCACTGAGCCTACGCGTTGAGCCATGGGTCGCATGGGGTTCCTGAAATTCTTCCGGACGTCCTTCTTTAAAAAAACAAAAACAAAGCCAGATCTCAGGCCATGATCCTTCCCAAATATTGTCCAATAGTGACCAACCATTATACCACCGTTTATTGTTTGGTCGCAAATGATGCTGCCATAGATTCTCCAGAATCTTCCCTTGGTGGTCCAAGAGACAGCAGAGGTGAAGCTTCCATTCTCAGGCTGCTCGCATCTTGCGTCCTGGGTTGGAATCTTCACATCGCATCCACCATTGGTTGGTGGTTGAACAACCCCCCTGACAAACCAGCGTGTCAATAGGGATGATCCTCCCATTTGGCGGATGGAAAATAGCAAACATGTCCAACCACCAGTCGGTAAGGCAATCGTATTTTCAATCTTGGCTTCAGCAATCCGCCGGCTGATTGTTTCCAGCAGGGTACGAAAGAGGTCCAAGATCCAAGCTGGAAACCCTTTCTATAAATTTGATTAAATTTGTCTATAGCAATTTCGTAGATGATCTTGTTCTCAAGCGGGATTTTGCAGTGCCATAGCATGCCATAGCCATTTCGCATTGCGATTTTCCTCACCTTGGCCCGAGTCAGCATGGCGGCCCGGTGCCTCCAAGTCTCAACAAGCGCTTCACCTCTGCATTCACGGAGTCCAGTCCGCCAGGCAACATATCCTGCGAAATCCCTCCCAATTGCTGTGGGCAAATTATCCCGAAAGTTGTTAGTCAAATTAGTCAAAGGTTTGATCATTTTGATACCCCGGCAACATGGTTTGCTGGAAAATCCCCCAGTAGAATGTGTGTTCCATTTCAATATTTTCAATGCCCGTTTACCTCGGGGTAGCTTTGAGTTCCGAGTTTGATAGCAACTTTGCCCACCAGCAACCCCTCCTTGAAGATAGGCAGCAACCCAGCATGTACAAACAACACATTCCTCTCCACGGCCAGGGCTTGAAAACGCTCGCGGACGCCTTGCCCGAGCCACCCTTCCTGGAAAGGCGAACCGGTGAAGGCATCATAGATCCATCCAGGCCAACAGTTATACTGGCTATACTGTCCATTTGAATAGGTGAAATATGTTTTGAAACATGTTGTGAACCATGTTGGAAAACATGCTTGGAACTAGGCGAAATCAACAAGCCAATAGACCATCTCAGTTTTCATTCCCCGATGCGTCAGGAACCGACGTGTCCTTGGAGAAAATCCTGGTGCGCGTTTGCAACGAAGAGCTGGACTCGCCTGCTGCCAAGGTACTGTGAATGGATTGGCTGGAGGGAATATCTACAGATACATGTTACTACTGTTGAAATCGTGGATGTTGGCAGTTTTTTACCAGCCCGATAAGAGATTTCCTGCAGCTTTTACCTTCACATCCTTCTTCGCTGCACATAGTTACGAAATTTTACGAAGTAACTCATGGGAAACTAAGCATGGTGCTAATTGAGTATGGCCCGTATGGCTATGAATGTTAAGGATTTGGAGGATCATCCGGATCAGAACTGGTTGCGAATCGTGCGAATCGTAGGTAGTTCACTCATTTTCTATTTTCAAAGGGGATAAATCTATGAATCAGGACTTACTGACCAAGGCGCTTCCTGTAACTCTAACCAGTTACCAAGTGGGATGATCCTCCACCCTGTAGTTCACCGCAACTTTTGGGACTGGACCTCATTGATCCCCGCGGTCAAACCTCTGATATCAAATATTCCAGCATCAAATTCTAAACAGCAATACACTATACAACCCATTGACCTACAATTTCTCAGTCGGTCTATGTTCATGGTGCGGTAAATTTCATGTTTGTTGCTGGTTCAAACCCACTTTTGAATACTTTTGATGGTTATACAATCATATGTTAAATCCACATGCTTGTGGTTGAAATCAATTCAAATCCTCATTGCTATGATTAAGAATCAATTCTACGAGGCAAAATCAAAGTATTGTTGGTCAATAGTTGGTAAACTCTTGCTTTTGTATAGCTGAAAGCCCCATGTGCTCTCCAATTTTTCGTCGCCCGCACCTTTCAAGTCCGGCTCTAGCGCGGCAATGGAGGCAGTGTCCGCCGGGGTGGCATAGCGAAAGTCGCCCTGCAGGTTCATGAGCTCGTGATTTCCCAGCAACCTGGAGTCTTCGATTGCTGGAGGTTCTGGGAATAAAGCTATGATGGTTATGATATACAACTAAACTTTATAATGTATTTTAAATGATCAATCCAAAACATTGCCATTGCTATAAGTTAGTGATACTTGATGCTTACATATTACATACATATATATATAATATAGTCCATTTTAATATTATGCAACTGGCAGAAATCCCCATGCGTGTGTTGTTCTGAAATGCCGTTTTCTGCGATCAGCACAGCAGTATCTACCAGGCAACAAGATGACCTTGCCACCAGATGCAGGTGCTTCATCCTGCGGTCAAGTTGGGATTTTGCAGATGAGAGTATACTCATCCCATCAAGAAATGGGACTCTCTAATTCTAATAGCCCCCATACAGCTGCGGTACATCGGACATACATGGACATACCATTTCTGGGACATCCAAGATCACTTGTGTGTGCAGATTTACGGCTAGCAACATTTAATGGCTATCAAATTAGTCATCATAGGGATTGTATCCAGACTTAGCATGGTTCCTACCATTGTTATCCAGGTTAATCCATCCACTCTAGCAATCCGCCCACACCGCTTTGGCGGTGAAGGCGTGCTTATTGGGGGGCAACAGCAACACTAAATGCTCAATGACATTTGTTAATATAGCAGTCGCTATATCAGCTTTAGCTGGGGGGGGGGGGCCCAAAAACGGTTTCGCACCGAGACCAGAATACGGTGGTGTTTTCGACATTTTTCGAGGATTTTTGGGTGTCTGAGCGCAAGAGGGTATTGAAATGGAATTTTGGGTCATTTTGGTAGCTTTCCGGCAATGGAAAAACGGCCAAAAATGAAAAAAACATTGTACATAGCAAGATTTTGCAGGGTTTTTGGATGCCAGAGCATTGAAAACACTGCAAAAACAAGTGTTTTGGACTGACGTTATAGCAAAAAACGTGTAAATTACCGTATGCTTGACTGGAAACATTACAAAAACACTGTCAAAAGCAATGTTTTGGAAGGATTTACTGCCTTTATGGCAAAAAAACGTGTAAATTACCGTCTGTTTGACTGGAAACATTGGAAAAACACTGTCAAAAACAATGTTTTGGAAGGATTTCTTATATATATGTTGGAGTTGGCTACCGGCATTGGCACATGGAAAAATTGAAGAAAACACTGTAAATAGCGGTATTTTCAACGGTTGGGGAGATAAGGGAATTGGAAGCATTGTCGAACATGATGTTTTCGACCGGTTTTATGGCGACAAAAGTGTAAAGTACCGTGCTTTGAAGGAAACCATTGCAAAAACATGGAAGCACATTCAAAGAACACGGGATTTGGGGGAATATCTAGGCGTCGTTGTCTAGCTATTTGAAATTCCGCAGCTTCGAGAGCCTCCAAGGGAGGGAAAAGTGAAAATTCCATAGCTTGGGAAGCTGTCACGGCGGCGAAAAGTGAAAATTCCCTAGCTTGGGAAGCCCCCACGGGAAAAGTGAAAATTCCCTAGCTTGGGGAGCCCCCACGGGGGGGAAAAGTGAAAATTCCCTAGCTTGGGGAGCCCCCACGGGGGGGAAAAGTGAAAATTCCCTAGCTTGGGGAGCCCCCACGGGGGGGGAAAGTGAAAATTCTTAGCTTGGGGAGCCCCCACGGGGGGAAACCACCCTTAGCCCCTCTCACGGACCGAAATAAACCTGCGGTGTGGGCGGCCACCCCACGCGAAGCGGGGTGAATAAATACACCCCTAGACACCCTGGTTTAGTATTGCATCTGTTCATGTTGGGACCCAGATGGGGGTAGATCGGGTGGTTACATCTCACAATATTCCGCAAATCTCCACCATTCTATCCTCATGATATCCCCATAATTCTATATATGTCTATAATTATGTACATATACATACATACATACAGACATACATATATAATATTATGTGTCTATAATTGTGCGTACAGTCTATAGTAAGATCATACTGTGTGGTTTTTCATCCATATCCTCATTATATCCTCATGATATCCTACAAAATAACGGCTCAATCCCCATTCAAAGTGTTCTTCCCTGTTCTATATAGTTCAGTATTATATGATAGATACACGTGTATGTGTATATATATATATATATATAATATACACATATGTGTGTCTACCTATAATTTTCCATATATTCCTATAGTAACCCAAACAAGATGGAAACAAAAACGCCAAATTGTTTTAGGATGTTACTGTGCCTCAAAAAGGAGCTGTGTCCAAAACTTCATCAATTTGGGGGTACCATTTTTTTGGACAACCCATTTTTCCAGATATTTCTTGGTGAAATCATCACCCTGGCGCCGTCGGCTCCTGCAGCCGGAAGAGGGACTGGAAGATGGGGCCCGACGCGTCCCCGCGGTCCGTGACATCCCCCGTCTGCACCAGGATGGAACGACCACCCGTCCACTCTCCTGGAGAAAAACCACCGTGGTTACATATATATATATAATCATCCTGGGAAAAAAGTGACATTTTCATACATTTTCAACAAGATTCCAAGGTTTTTTTTCAGATTTAAGTAAATAAATAAAGATATGTATATATATATATACATATATACATGTGACAGCCTCTCCAACCCCCCCAACCCCCCTATGTCGTGGTGGAGGGGGGCAGAAGTGTATGTACGTTTGTCTGGATGTCTGCATCGATGCAAGTATTTATTTCTCCCCCCCTGTGGTGGGGGTATGTGGCGGTGTGGTGGGGGCAAAGTGTATGTATATGTGTATGTGTGTGTGTATGTGTGTATGTGTGTGTATGTGTGTGTATGTGTGTGTATGTGTGTGTATGTGTGTATGTATGTGTGTATGTATGTATGTATGTATGTATGTATGTATGTATGTATGTATGTATGTATGTATGTATGTATGTATGTAACGTAACGAGCACGTGGTCCGCGAACGACGCATCACTGTTTGAAAGTTGGATGCACTGATAGAAAAACATACCAATATGATATTGCTACTCACGAGCAATTAGTTCGAATAAGGCTTGATCTTCAAAGCTACTACCCCATGCTTGGCAGCACGCTGTTCGTAATTTCGAGATTGGTGATGAATGGTCACTGCCTCATCCAACGACTCCGCGCTTGGGAGGCAGTTCGCCACCCCTTCAGATCGCAGCATTTCAATGACTGAGGGGTAATACGCAAGTCCAGTCACTTGACACAATGACTCTTGAGTACCATTGAAAAAGGTGATCGTGTCACCGACCTTGCAATGCATGATGTTCCCAGAGTTAATGCGACCTTCAACGGTTTTTCGTCCTGAAGCGACTTGTAGAAGTTGATCGGCATCAAGACCGAAAATTCCCAAATGCACGGATTCAGCATCCCTTCCCGGTGGAACACTGTTCGGATTGCGAGCATCACTTTGGGATTGGGAGCTTGATGCAAATTGTGGATGCATTTCTGCGGAGTGCGGTGGGATGGATGAGTCGCTGGGTTGTGATGGCTGCGACTGAGCAACGGCGGGCATTGAGGGCTGCTGCTCAATATCTGGGACCGATGCCTGGGCTTGGGTAGGCACAGGAGAGTGACGGGAGGTCAGTGGAGGTACACGGGATGCCGCAAGCTGGCGCTCAGAGATGACATAATTGCGAAAATTGGAATAGATCGGATCTCCAGCTGGAAAGCCTTTCATGACATCATCGCAAATGCGATCCCGGAAGACACCAGCTGTGCAGCGAGATGGCTTCCCTTGTAACCACAAATGCAGGTCAGTCCCATCGTAGGCTCCGATCAGGGCTTTGACCTCCGCCACAGCGGCCTCAAGATTGAGATGACCGATAAAAAAAGTTTCTTCACTACACTAAGGCCTTCCTTGAGCCTCACAGACGTCCTTCAGCTGCGACCACTGCTGAGCTTGAGTTGAACGTTGCTCATCAATATTTTTCGTCCAAATGCAATCAGGGTAAACCCGTCCTTGTTCTACGGCTTTAGCAGCCTTTGCACAAGAGTGATTTTTCCATTCATTGAAATAGACGCACAATCAAGCTCCGCTCGGCATAGCTTGTTGCAGTTGTTGGCGTACAGCATCACCTAGTCGGGTAGGCCTTGGTCTCATGGTAGTGAATAAGGTTTTGGCCAAGATCGCCGAGAAGCCAGCTGCTTGAAATTCCTTCACTTCTGCTTGCAAAGATACAGCCTTCACGCGCCTGGCAATCAACAAACTGATGGGTCCAGTAGCTTCACACATTTTGTGATGCATCCAGCTGACGCTGGTAACATCCTGATGGTCCAGCCTCGTAGCAGCTGCGACACGTCCGACGACGAACCTGCTGTGCTAAGCTTTGAGGAAATCTGCTTCATGGCCGACGTAAACGGTGACAGCTTTGCGATCTTCTCCACACAGCATCTCAGCCTCATAGGAGTTGCCTCTCGCCCAAGCAATGACGTCCTGAGTGATGTCGCCAGGAGATTTGTTGGGATAGACAGCATAGCTTCGTACTGCAACATCAGTAGCAATGTCAGCTGACGCTATTAGTGATGCTAGCTCAGCTGCATCCAGATGCTTGGCCCAAACGGCCAGTTGCTTCAGAAGACCGTGGCGCAGAGTGATCACACCAAATTCACTTTCAAGGGTCGGCCATAATCCAAGATATCGCGCTTTTGAAACTAAGACGCACGGTCTCGGCGCTGCTTGCATTGCCACTAGCGCTTTGCGAGTGTGGAACGCGCAAAATACAACGTTGAAATAGGCTACCGTGGGAGCGCTCTCTGGAATCGGCATTCCTTTTTCAACGCACATCGCCTCCCATCCAAACCTGGTAACGAGGGTATCAAGGGCGGTCACAGTGGTCATTGCACCTTTCGTCACGGCTGAAAAATCTTGGGACAGCACTCCGTCCAGAGTTCCGTATGTCCTGATGACCCACCGTCGACAAGCGATCATGGCGATTTCGCGGGCTCTTTGGTAGTCGATGTTGCTGATCATTGGAGCCGATGGAACGTTCTCGGTCAACGCGTCACTTGGATTCGTGACAAACTCCTCCAGTTCCCCAGTGAACGGTTCCAACTCGAATGACGTAGAGCACAGTTCCGCGATGGAGGCAATCGGGCTGTCATACACAACAAGTCGTAGACCAACAGCTCTTTTCACTCAAGCTTGGAGGGCCAGACTGATCAAGTTGTCTGGATCTCTTCCGGTTCCAGTCTCCCTTGAATGCCCAAAGCACCCTTGAGCTTGTTGAGAAGATCAAACAGCAGCTCTTGGGTGCCACTTCCATGCGTGTCAATGTGGATCAACAAATTGTTCACACCTCTTTGCAAGTCGCCAGTTACTACGGCATGAGTTCCCGTAAGCTTCCGACTTGAGGTGCAAGTTGGGCATGACCGACCGAGGATTCCGTGGAGGCATACGATGTCGCCAAATTCTCTCACACTTTTAGTCTCACCCTTTTGCCAACCCTCTCAACCCAAGTAGCTGCACCAAAGACATGGGAAGGAAAAAAACCAGCCTCTAGTTTGAAGCCACCTACCTACAAATTGCCATTGCAGCAATTGAACCCGAGGAAGCACATGCAACAGTAGCTGAGCCAACAGGAACAGAGGCAGCAGAAAGCCAGGAAGAGATTGCAAACCACAAGACAAAACTACTTGCTCTGGAATCTGGCGCAAGTGAGCCAGATCCAAAAGCAAAAGCCAAAGCCAAGGCAACAAGCAAAGGAAAGGCCCGAGCAAAGTTTAATCCCAAGAAGAAGGCTACATTGAAATCAACACCAGCAAGCAAGACAAAGACAAAAACAAACACGAATGCACTCCACACAAAAAGAAAGGACAACAAGAGAAGATTTTGAACAATGATTAGTTTGTTGGCTGTTTTGTTGTGGATTGTAATGTTGCTTGAATGTGAATTGATCTCCCATGCAGTAATCCTCGAAAAATGTTTTCTTTATATAGTTTTTATATTTCCCTATGGAAACATGTTTCAACAACATCAAAAAATAGCTTCAAATATAAATCACAAATAGTTAAAAATATGTTTAAAATATTTTACAAATAATGAAACATAGTTAAAATATAGCTTAAAAATAGTCAAGACATAGTCAAAAATAGTTTTAAAAAATAGTTTAAAAAATAGTTTTAAAAATAGTTAAAAATAGTTAAAAATAGTTTTAAAAATAGTTTTAAAAATAGTTTAAAAATAGTTTTAAAAATAGTTTTAAAAATAGTAAAAAATTAACTAAATACTTAAAAAAATAACTAAATAGTTAATTTTGAGAGTAGCAAAATTAACTTAAAATAGTTAGGAAATTAACTATTAACTATTAGGCAGAAAATTGTCTAACCTGATCTATTGGGAATCATCATTTTTTGCTCTATTCCGACCCAGGACCCATCTCCAGGGTAAAACGAATCTTCAATCTCCCAAGCCACCTGGCGCTTGGGGTCTGGCGAAGCGACCATGCGGCTGTCTTCCCGGGATGCACCCGGATGTTTCCTGAAGCATCGGCTGTTTGGGGCAGCTTTGGCGAGGCGATCAACCAACACTTCCTGCAGGGGAACATCTACTTTTGGGGTCCAACGATCCACAGCCATCAAGATTCGTAAAGTGTAAAAGGTGCACTTCGGAATGGAGAAGTGAACCTGATCTGTACTGCACACCCTAGTGAGATGAAGCTCAGGTACTTGTGCTGCATCTGTGCGCGCTCCATCTTGCTTCTGCGTTTCGCGGCCAGGAGGAGGTAATAGGTTGCGGTCGCGCTGTTGTGTTGGTTGTTGCGGAGGCAAGTGGCTGCATACCTGAATCAGGGTACTAGCTCAAGAAGACTCACGCGGCGAACCACCACCGGGAATTATGCCCAAAAGTGCTTTTGAATCAGCGTATTACATAAATCATTTCCCATTGAAGGCCCGTGTTTTGGACTTCCCCACCCAAGAATGCAAGGCCTGGACGCCAACAAGGAAAGCCATGGTCAATCATTCCAGGATTCAGGTTGCAATGGTTCTGACACGTGGCATGACAAGTTGAGTTTGGATCAAGTTACTGTGAAGTTACTTCTAGGCTTGCGAGTTTTTAGTAAGGGTCCGGTGACGTTTTCACCCATATCCCAACTGCTGCAACAGTGAATTTTGAAGTCCGGGCTGCTGGGGCGAAAAGCCGTGACGTTTCAAGTCCTCCAGCACGTCTTCGTCAAGACCCCCTGAGGCGATCAGGCGGAAAACTGCAGTCACTGTCAGGTCTGCTGACCAAATATGCGACGATCGATTGCGCCTTCTGTGCATCCTTCTCGTTCGGCAAAGCATCATCCAAGGTACCTGGTGAAAACGAAATGCGCAGCCTGCCAAATTTGGTCACAGAAGAAGAAGAAGAAAAACGCTGAGTAGCAATCGGACCCATCGGAGCTTCCGTCGGCATACCTTCCCACGCCTCCCAATGGCCAGTGTTGGCGTTTTGTGTTTGAATGGCTAAGGCCTCGACTGGGATCCCGGTGCGTTCCACCTTCGGCACGACAATGAAACACGAAGGGCGGGCGTAGATGTCAAACCTGCCTGATGCAACTAACGGACTTTGATGCACGATAACCACGGCATTGAAAGGAGAGTCACCTTTGCCAGGCACCAGACCTCTGGTTGGCCAAACGGAAGAAAAGTAAATGAAATCCTTGGTCATGGGCAGCAAACCTTTCTCTTTGATACCGACCAAGTTGCTGCGAAACGTGCCATGGAACATCAACTGATATGGCCGTTGAATTGGACTCCACAGAATTGTGTAGTCGGCAATCCGGTACTCATGCCCGCAAATAGCGTACATCTTCCCATACCTGACCACTACTTTGCCTGCACATCGGAACAAGGCATAAGTCAACTCAGAAGGGGTATAAAGAATAGCTGAATGTGTCCAATTGGAAACCCACCGTTGCCATCGTGCGCCACGCCAGCGATGACTTGCATTTTCGTAAGCAAGTGCATCAACCGGTACCTGGCTGGAAGAGTCATGAGGTCAGTATCAGTATACGAAGTCGCATCACTTGGCGTGGTGAACCGCTCATACGCCTGCCGCACGTTTGGCAATTTGCTGAATATCAGGCCTCTGATCAACGCTTCCAAGACTTCTGGTTCAAGCACCACGTGATGGGCCACAAGGAATTCTTGGAGTGAATCCAAAGTCCGGAAACTTCCCTGATATCCGTTTCAAATTGCGTAACACCCCATAAATCGCCATAAAGCTTATGTATGTATGTATGTATGTCGGTTAATTATGTATGGATATGTAATGTATGAATTTATGTAGTAATGTATGTATTATGTATGTATGTTGGTATTATGTATGTGTGTATGTATGTGTGTATGTATGTGTTACATTATGTATGTATGTAATGTATGTATGTAGTTATGGTCATGTTATGTATGTATGTCTGTATGTTGTATGTATGTATGTATGTATGTATGTTCATGTCTGTCTTACTCTCTTTATGTCTGTGTGATTTTTTCTTTTTTTAAGTTTTTATTTGTGTCTGTGTTTTATTGTGTGTATGTGTGTATGTGGTATGTGTGTATTTTTTTCTTTTTTGGTCTTTTTTTCTTTTTTTCTTTGTTTTCTTTTTTTTCTTGTTTGTATTTTTTCTTTTTTTCTTTTTCTTTCTTATCCTGTCTGTCTTTTCTTTCTTTCTTTCTTTCTTTCTGTTCTTTATGTATGTAATGTATGGTAATGTATGGTAATGTATGGTAATGTATGGTAATGTCTGGTAATGTCTGGTAATGTATGGTAATGTCTGGTAATGTATGGGAATGTATGGTAATGTATGGTAATGTATGGTAATGTATGTAATGTATGGTAATGTATGGTAATGTATGGTAATGTATGGTAATGTATGGTAATGTATGGTAATGTATGGTAATGTATGGTAATGTATGGTAATGTATGGTAATGTATGGTAATGTAATGCATGTAATGCATGGTAATGCATGGTAATGCATGGTAATGCATGGTAATGCATGGTAATGTATGGTAATGTATGGTAATGTATGGTAATGTATGGTAATGTATGGTAATGTATGGTAATGTATGGTAATGTATGGTAATGTATGGTAATGTATGGTAATGTATGGTAATGTATGGTAATGTAATGTAATGTAATGTAATGTAATGTATGTATGTATGTGTATGTGTGTGTGTGTTTGTATGTGTGTGTATGTGCGTGTAGGTGTGTATGTGTGTATGTTTGTATGCTTGGATGTTTGGATGTTTGTATGGATGTATGGATGTATGCATGTATGCATGCATGCATGCATGCATGCATGTATGTATGTATGTATGTGGGTAGGCAGGTATGTACGAAGCTGTGCATGCGTGTAGGTAGGTATTGGTGTATGTATCTAGGTAGGTATCGGTATCTATGTATGTATGGATGCATGTGTAAATGTATGTACGAAGGTAGGTATGTAAGTAGGTAGGTTGGTAAGAATGTATGTAGGTAGGTATGTACGTCTATATGTAGGCATGTAGGCATGTATGTATGTATGTATGTATGTAGGTATGTATGTATGTATGTAGGTAGGTAGGTATGTAGGTATGTAGGTATGTAGGTAGGAATGTATGTAGGTAGCCATGTATGTAGGTAGGTAGGAATGTATGTAGGTAGGAATGTATGTAGGTAGGAATGTATGTAGGTAGGTATGCATATATGTGACTCTGTATGTATGCGGGTGGGGGGGATACCATGGTGGGGGAGGGGTTGGGTGGCCGGGGGACTGGATCATATATTATATATATACATAGATAGACAAAGCAACCAAAACAAAGATAGACAAAGCAGATGATAATCATCGAAGTGTCGTGGAGATGCACTTTTCTATCGTTCTGGGAATGTAGGTATAACCATGCTGAAGTAGATAGAATACTGCATATTCAACAAGATTCCCATTTTAGTGAGGATTGTTTGAAATTCCCAAGAGTCTATGTACTCGAGGATGATCACATATGTGTGAATGTGTATATATATATACACTGGTTATATGTAGATAATGGTGCATCATGGGGATATGATTGATGGATATGAGAACGGGAGGAACACAACCAACCCGTTGGGATCCAGTTGGGTTTTTCATATGAACCATGGAGGTAAAACATGGTAAAACCAGATTGGATTGACATGGTTTTTCACTCATAATCTGTGAAATGCAAAATGGGGTGTTTCAAATTCATACTATGCTTGGATGAACATGTTCCCTCCAAACCCCGGGTTCGCCCACACTCAAACAACACATCCAAACAATATAATATATAATATATAATATACTTATCACCAAAGGATTAATGAAAACACTGGCTATACGCAGTGATTTTGACTTCAAGTTTTCAGGATTTAGGGTTTTAATTTAGGGTTTAGGGTTTTAGGTTTTAGATGGTTTTAGGGTTTTATATAGGTTGTAGGGTTTTATGGTTTTAGGGTTTGTTGTTTTGGAAAGAAAAAAACTTAATCCTTACGCAGGGATTTGAGCAGTCAAAGAATATGCAGGATTCGCCGCGGGCAAACCTAGGGTTTGCAGCGAACATGTTTTCGTAAAGATATGGAGAGATATGGGGGCTATGACACCCTCAACTATGAAAGTATCACACCCTCCAATGAAAGGGCATCCCACCCTCTGCTAGGAGCATAATGATATGTTATAAGTTCAGAGTAGAAAGCCTGTCAAAATCCAAACCCTTACAGCACTGCTGATGCACTTGTAGGGTCGTCCTGACCTCCACCCCCACATTACTTTGCATTTTAGTCGACATGGAGTGGTTGTAACTATATTCATCCGTCTACATTCACACACGTATTGAAACATATGGGATAGAAACAAGAGGAGTTAACTAGTTAACTAAGTTATATAATTACTAATAAAACTTTGTAATTCTTCAACGAAGAAGTAGCCAAGGCAGTACTTGCTCAGGGTTGCAGGATAGATGGCAAGCGCTGCACCATGATTTTCACATCCACCATGTGTTCTTTGGTTTAGTCTCTGCCTACCGAGGGTCGCAATCAACTCCTAGGCAAACCGAGACTCGGCTGTAAGATGATTGCGCTATTTGCGCGGCTTTGCAGCGCATCCCAAAAATGCGAATCGACATGAACATACATGAACAGTTCCAGATTTAGATTGAAAAATAAAATGTGTGTTCATTAAATTGTCGAAAATGAGGATTCAAATTGATTTACACCTCTAAACCACACGTTTTGGGTTCCCATGTTTGAGACAATCCCATTTGGTCAAAGGTCTCCCCGTGAGACGAGTTGCCCATGGCAGCAACATGGCTCACCTGAGCAGTTTTGACTAATAGGATTTGCCGCGATTGTCACAATCTCCAACATATTGGATAGTATAGTCCCCTAGGGCCCTAGGGGTTTTGAACAATCACTACCCATTCTCAATTTAGCATTAACCAGATGAACCATTCTAGATTCTATACCCACACACTTCAGAATTAATGGTTAAACTTAATGGTTTCTATACCCACCATTCATACCACGAATCATTATTTCTAGATGAATCATTAACACTTCAGCATCACGATTTGTTTTATCATCAAAATCAGCTGTCCTGCATCCCCCATGAGTCCCAAGGACTTGAGGATCTTCTGACAGCTCTGAGCATCGCCGTGCAAATCGCCCACCGAAAACACGCGGCGATCCTGGTGGCTTTCGTCCGTGTAGGATACAGCCTCGCCAATTGCTGGGCGTTATGGCGGCTACAGAAAATCATGGGATATGTCCCCACCCAAATAAATGATGATATATATATATATAGCCATCGTTAAATATTAATGTAGATGGGACAAATGATGACATCATAATAATGACATATAATGACAATTAATTAGTTCATAAATGTTAATAATGCTGATAATGATACTGTAGTTTAGAAATGATGACAATCGGTCGGAATAGACCCCATTTTCATACAGTGCGCCCCTGGTGCGAGTCCGCTGCTCACGGCGCCAGTGACACCAGCATTATCCACTACGAAGAGTTGAGGATTGCCCCAGAAATCGGACAGAATCGTGGTTGCTACCCCGTTGTAATTGAACATGGCAATAGAAAATCCATTCTAAATGAAGGTTTTAATGGGAAAATCATCAACACACGGGCAATTTTCAATGTCTATGTTAGATTACCCAAGCGTCACCATGCAAAACTGGGATGAAAACCGGATCCAAATGGAAATTAAGCTACTGCCAGGTATCTGGAGGGTTCCACCCCACCCAGCCCAAAAACAAGTGAAAGTTAAAATTCAACTCAGTTGTCGACAACATCTGGGTTCACATCCTCGTTTCCGTGGATTATTTTACTCATGATACTCACGTGTATTTATATATATATATAACTAACTATCATATATAGTTTGTCGAAAAAATGATACATGTCCAAATAAAATCAAAAAAATCATTCCAAATTCATAGTCATCTTAATGATGAAAATGATGAACAATTATTTTTTATGTGTACAATACCCCGTTTTCAGACAAACCCAAACGGACCTTTCAATGCTGACACCAGGGATTTCCCACACCAAACCTCCGCAGCCGCCGGCTGCGCAAAGCTCAGCAGCGCTGCGAGCCCCGCAGCCCAAAGAGCTAGAAACACCCCAAGTTGCTGGGATTCTGGGGCGCAAACCTGCACAAAGCTCTCAAGAGAAAATCATAGTAAAAAAAAAATAGTGCAACCAGGGATCCAATATACTGTGTGTGTGTTTGCGCGCGTTTGTGCTTGTGTGTGTGTGTGTGGTTGGTTGTGTTTGTGTGTCTTTGTGTGTGTGTTTGTGTGTGTGTGTATGTGTATGTGTTGCTGGGTGTGTATGAGTATGTGCATGTGCATGTGTATGTGTGTGTGTGCGTATGTGTATGTGTATGTGTATGTGTATATGTGTATGTGTATGTGTATGTGTATGTGCATGTGCATGCGTGTGTGTGTGTGTGTGTGTGCGTATGTTTATGTGTGTATGTGTATGTGTATGTGTATGTGTATGTGTATGTGTATGTGTCGCTGAGACACTGGCAGCACCAAAACTTCGGGGGGGTTTGCTGACACACCAGCTGTTGCACAAGTTTCAAACGTAGCAAATGTCCAGCAAGTTGTTTTCGACACCACGCAGTCGAAGTTGTCGTGCCGCCAATGGCACAGCAAAGGGTTGGCACCGGCTTTAGTGCCTAGGAAAGACTGTAGCCTTGGTTTTCCTTTTGGAAACTGGCCAAAGGGTTCCCTTGGGATGAAAAGCCACACACGGCCGTGCTAAATGACTGACATGTAACACCACCGGAAGTGAACTCACCATGCTGTTGCTGATTCAATGACATGCCCCAAAAATCTTCACTAAAGGTGGTAGGAACATGTTGCTTGATCAGATCTTGCCATGTCTGATCTTGGAAATCGTTGGAAAATTCCTCTGCGGCTAATGGAAGACGTTGTGTCTTCTTTCGCTTCGCAGCTACAAATTCCGGATCATATTTCACTACCCATTGTTGGCCTCGTTGAAGGAAATGAGATAGTCCATCAGCAGCTGCGGATTTGGTTAATCCATCGGCAAGCTGGGCGTCCGAGGATACCCACAGCATAGCAGTATTCTGTCGCCTCAAATTTTCCGAAATAGCCATCAATTCAAGAGCTGCATACTTTTCTTTGAGAGAGAAGGCACTGGAGGCTCCTTCTCCTTTGTAGAAAGCATCATAGACGCTTTTTGCGTCAATGATCACTGCCGCATGGATCTTGGAGGTGGTCATCTCTGGTCGACGGAGATCCAACGTATGGCCTAAGAGTTCGGCCCATTCTGCCCTCACAAACATTAGCTCCTGTTCTCCGTCTCCAAGGGCCTGAATTTCGGCACTGAGGGAAGATCTGGCCACTCTCGCCAGCTTTCCACTCCTCCAAGAAATGGGGTTGGCTACCCCTTTCTGTCCCCTCAAAAAGGAAACGTCCACCATGGCAATCATGTAGCCACCTGTTGATGACATATCTGGCCTATTGCCAACGGCAGCGTCAGTGAAGCAGGCGAATGAAATGTCTTCGTCTCGCTGAACTCCGAGGTTTTTGATGGCAATGGATTGGAAGCGCTGGGCATGGCATTCTCTGCAAAGCTTGTTGATCTGGTGTAGCACATCTTTCGCTCCACCAGGAAGGGCGCTTTGAAGCCATGACAATTTGGCTGAGTGCTGTGGACCGCTCTGGATGGCACGCCACTGGATGGCTCCCAAGACGGCTCTCGCCTGTGACATCTCGTCAGCGGTGATGCCGGGCTCGGAGTCATTGATCGTGATCTGGTTGATCTGCTCCACATAGGTATGATGACTGAATGAAAAACTGAAATCAGCATTTTGCTCCAGTGAAATACCGCAATGAGCAAAGGATTGTTCTTCCCACGGACTCCAGACAAAGGCCTGCTTGAAGGTCTCGACGGTCTGAATCCATTCGGGATGATTCCACTGCCCAGAAACCAGAAAATCGTCCACATGGCTTGCAAAGTAGCCAATGGTTTTGCCAGTTTGAGAGTCTTTCTTGATCCACACGCAAGGATCTGTCCGAAGGCGATTCATCTGGCATTTGTTGGCTGCTACGTCATCCACCTCCACAAACCACTCTCGTGGTGCTGAAACTAGACCGTAAGCGGCCTTCAACATTCTGGCACCTTCACCAGGCGTCATGCCCATGGCTTCTGACAGCTCGGCCACAGGGGTGATGAAAATGTCCCGGTGCTTTTGGGTAGGTCGGCCTTGCAAAAACGCTGACTTTGCGTCTGCCTTGTACGCCTTCCATTTTCGCACTGTAGACAAAGAGAGGCATAGCTGTCTCGACCGGCGTGACAAGGTTGGGGCGGCTGTCTCCAGATCACATAGATCTGGATCTGTATATCCAAGTAAGACGATTCTCGCCTTGCATTTGACCTTGGTCTCGTCGCCATCAACGGCTTTGAAAACCAAAACCCACCGCGTTCGCATCAGGCGATTGCGGGGTGTCACACCTTTGAAACGTTCGCAAACTTTCTGTTGTACCCATTGGGATACCTCCAACTGCTTTGCCTCCGCCATGGCCTTTTTCTGCTCAGGGTTTAGTTTGCTCCATGCCACCTCAGCTCCTTTCGAAACTGACTTGGCTGCAAACTTGGCGGGGTTCTTCAGCACTTTCTTCCATTCTGACTCATCCTTTGGCATGTCAATGATGACGCCAAAGATGTCATCTTCTTTCACATCATCTGTCACCCACATTGAGGAAGGTTGTGCTTGATCTTCAGGAGGTAGAGGTTGAGCAGCAGCTTGTTGAACTTTGACATGTAGAGGTCTTTCTGACTGCTCATGGGCACGGCGGTATTGAAGAAATTCCGTCCGTCGCCTTTTCAACTCTTCATCCTCAATGGTCTGCATGGGGAAGTATCGAGGATCTTCCAGCAAGCGTTGAACATCAACTGGCTCTGGCATGGCTTCTTCTGCAGGAGGTTCGGGAAGGTCTTCTGCAGGTGTACCAGCTGAGTAACCATCGCTTTCTTCAGCTGGAATCAGTTCCTCGTCAGAGTCACCCATATCGGGCACAGGAACTTCTTGTGCTGCAGTTGAGGTTAGTTGCTGGTGCTTCTCTTTCTGCTCTTTTCTCCCACGACTCCTGCTGCGAGTCTTTGGCTTGTTCAAACTTCCTGGAGGTCGGCCTCGTCGAGGAGGTTCACGGGTGAGATCTTCGTACTCGCCCTTCTGCAAAGTTCTGCCGAGTGACGTAAATGTCCATGGTAGAGTTGGGGCATTGGTCGCTTCAGCGATCAAGCGTTCTCTGTCACTTGCATGCCTGAGCTGGCTTGAGTGGGTCTTCTTCAGTCGCCCTTGCGTGATGATCCATATCACATTGGCAGGCGATCTCGCTGCAGTCTCAGCGTCCACTCTGGTCTCAGCAGCAAGAACTCTGCCAGGACCAAACCATCGAGATACCTTCATTGAAGGTGTATCCAGCAAGGCATGTGCAGGCGTATCTGCAGGAGTTTTGAACCTTCTGTAGTAGACCAAATCTCCAGGAAGAAACTGGTTGCTCTTCTGGACCTTGGAATTGAGTGCACGTGAGATGCGAGCTTGAGCTTGGAGTTCTCGGTAACGAGATTCAGCTCGAAGTCTTGCTTGGAGGTTCTTGTACATCTCAGAGCTCGGATCTCCTTGGGCAGAAAGTAGAGCTAGGTTGCTGCCACTTCCATCATCCACATCTCTTCCAAAAGCCCATTGCATCGGTGAAAATCCACCAACACGAGCGACTCTGTTGTGAGCGCCACACATCTCCGCAGCTGCTTGTCCAGGAGTTGATTCTGTTTCGCTCCTCAAATGAGCTGTCATCTTTTTCTTCAATTCTCCCACGCGGCGTTCAACATCTCCTACTGATTCATGGTGTTCAGCAGGACAAAAGGCTAACTCAATGCCGCGCTCTTTGCAGAAAGATTCCAAAAGATCACCACGAAAAGCTCCCTCCAAATCACATCGAATTCTTTCTGGAGCACCCAAGTATTGAAACCAATTTTGCTGAAGGATCTCCAGGGTCTTGGCGGTGCTGATGTTCTGATGGTCATCTTCATGATGAACTGCAAATTCACGTGTCACCGCATATCCACTGGCTTCATCCAACATCAGCAGAAAATGATGAACTTGGTCTCCATAGCGGAACATGAAGGTGTCCATCTGGAGGGTGCGCCACAGGATCTCTTCCTTCTCAAGCGCAACTTTTGCTGTAGGTTTTGCCATCTGGCCTTCAAGGCATTCTTGGCAATTCAACTTCTCAGCTACTGCAAGCGTCTTTCCATCAGCTCCACGGGCTGCCAAAGTTTTCACCAGAGCTCGATTGCTAGGGTGACCACAAAGCTTATGAAGCTTCAGGACACTTTGAGCAAGGTGTGAAAGCTCCTGTTCTGTCATGGACTTGAGACTCTCACGGTCCACCTTGACATCAAAGTTTCCAAAGGCAGTCCCATCACGTAGGGCTCGGAAATAAGCTTGACATACTGCACGACATAGTCGGATGGTGTAGAGGGCAGACTTCTTTGTTCGGGTCTGTCCCAAAGTCGGAACATGTTGATGCCTTCCAGCACATTGTTGGGCCAGGCTGGAAAACATGCCAGGTTTTGAGCTGCGAAGACACCAAGGTTTCTTCAAAAAGCCTTCAGGAACTTGAAGTCCATAGCAGCATCCATCCAACATCACATCCTCTTGTCGCTCTATCAGTTGTAGAGCGCCCCAAAATTCCACAATCTCAGGGAAGCGCCAAGCTCGGTTGTAGCGAGGCCATTCCTGAAGAACTTCTCCACCAGCAAGGATTTGAGCTTCCATCACACGGATCCCATTCTTGGTCAGCTTTCTGGACTTCCGGATCCGTTCTTTGCTTTTCTTCAAACCTTCTGGAGTTCTTTCATTGAGAGCTTGTATGGCCGAAGTTGGGCCACACGGCAAGCTAACCCAAAGCAGCTTTGGCTTGTGCTTGTAGACGAAGTCGATGGCCAACATAGTGCCTTCCTCGGTCATCAAGTCAAAACCATTGTGAAGACCTGCACGGGCAGCACGACCACCACTTTTGTTCATCACCTCCGCAAGCATGCTGTCGGGTTCGCAGCAAAGCTCCATCAAATCCAGAGAGTTCTTTTCGTTGGGGTCAGACATGAGGTT